TTGATAGCCAGGTACCAGTTGCTGCAAATTTGGACGGTTTGGATGATTGGAGTCGTAGTTTACCTTACGTTGACTTAATACGACAAGCACGCGTATGGGGCAGTCCGGCTAAACCATGGGATGCAAAGTAATCATCCATCTAGGACATCCGTTGGAATACGGTGGTTTTGTTCCATCTTCGCAATTATTTAAGACAATAGCTCTGGCAGCTGTTGCTGATAAAAGCAGATACTCAGTGCGTCACGTACTCTGTGGGGGCCTATGGCTGCTACGCTCGCGCACCGACGTCCAGGAATGCGTATGAATATGAACATTAAAAAGGTATTTATTTGAATTTTATAGATATTTATTCAATTATATTTTCTTACTAAGGAGAAAAGGTCCCAAAGTGGCCAGTCGCGTTTTCGATGAAATACACATGGTTATAGATAGTTTTCGACGTTGAACACGAATCTGATATGCGTTCGTCCATATATCCGCTGTTGGATTGTATTTTTTGAGACCGGATGTTTTGGAATCTATCTTGATGAAGAGATGTTGATATATCTGTTTTAGAAAACATGTCGACTTATCTGTAAGAAAACATTTTGAGACTCGAAGATTGCCTTTCAAGAAGTTTACCTAAAAATGTCAGTAAGTCACGACTGTAAGTTAATCGGGATGTAAAATTCCTTGTATCCAGTTAAAAATCGACTTTTAGGTCACGAAATGTTTTCATACAAATAATTCGACATACTCTACAAGACAGGCACATCAGCATCTCTTCACTCGTTAAATGATCCGAAATTGAAAGAAAATGCTATAAGTCGATGGTCTCTGTTAAAATCTTTCGACCATGGCGGATGATTAAGTCCACCACCCTCCTTTCAATCCCGAACGTTCTGTATAAACGGTTCCAAATGCCACAACTGATCCCATAACAGGATGGCCTACAAGCGATTTTGGTGTCGTTCTGGCCACAAACGCTGTTGATATGGGTGGAATCTATTTGCTAACAGCACAGGGCAATGCAGTGGTCACTGTTGCTGGTGGTTCCTCAGCCGGCCGGATTGCCAACAAGACTTATGATCCATCAACAAACAGACTCACAGCTTTTGTCGTTATACCTCAAGGTGCATCACAAATCATGTTGAGTTTTGTTAATACTAGTGGTCATGGTGTACAAAATATAACTCTTTTACAACCAAATTATGATCTAACATCGCAATCAAATATAACAAATTTAATGCTAACACATCTATCACGTTTCAGCATAATACGCTTTATGGATTGGATGGCGACAAATAATAATCCAGATGTCAACTGGAACGACAGTACGCCTCTGTGGTGGCCACAATATACAACACCGAAGCATAATCCGTGGGACACAATACCATACATTGTTAATAAATTTATTACACCTGTTGATATTTGGATCAATATACCGTTCGGTGCCACTGATGATTACGTCCTTCAAGTTGCACAACTAATGTTAAATCAGCTCAATCCGTCGATCAATATTTATGTGGAATACTCAAATGAAGTGTGGAACTACATCTTCACACAAGCATCGGCTAACCTTCGTGACGCTAATGTTTCTGTTCTTAATCAAGGTGACCCATTACACTTAGCTTATGATAATAATACTAACGTTGGTTACTGGGCTTTCCGACGAACAGCATCGCAAATAAAGCGCATATCTGATCTATTTAAAACTGTTTTCGGCCAGCAAAATGTAGGACCATGGAAACGCATTCGACCAATACTAGCAGGTCAAAGCACAAATCCAATTGTTATTACACAAGGTTTAGACTACATCAGTAATGTTTATGGACCACCATCCAACTATTTACATGGGATTGCTATTGCACCCTATTTTGATTTAGCACAATATAAAACATGGTCAAATCTGACAACAGATCAAGTTATTGATGGTCTCAATTCGAGTATACAAACCTATTTGCCTGAGCAAGGGTGGAGTGTAACAGGACCAATTGGTGTACATGGAACATATGCCGCATGGTATGGATTGGCCGTGCATGGTTACGAAGGAGGTCCAGATACTGCATCTGGATGTGGCAGTTGTTCATTGCAAGCAAAAATAAATGCAACTCGTGATGGTCGTATGACCAATTTATGTACACAATTTTTAAATGGTTGGTATCGGTATGGATTTCAACCACTGAATTGGTTTGTTGCAGGTGCAATACAAACAACTCAAAGCGGTTCCTGGGGGCTACTGGAAGACATGAGGCAAGAAACATTAATAAATACAACAGGAATGTTTAATTCATCGTCACCTGTCGCACTACTCCACGACCATCACCAAAACTGGCCGCTATCGATCAAATACGTCTTACGAGTTCAATTCCATTAACATTCGGTATACCTATTCCATCATATAATGTCAATTCAACTAATTTTATGAATCATCGCGTGCCATATACAGATCCATGGCTAAGAAATTTAGGTCCAAATTCCACATTCTATTATCCATTACAAATACTTCAATCACCAATGACAATTAATGTAACTGTTTATGTAGCCGGTAATTCTGGAACATTAGAAGCATCAATTAATAACGCAGACTTTATCCAAGTACGAACACCATCCACTGGTAATTATACAAATTTTCAACCAGCCCCTATATTTCAATTTACTATAACAAAAACAGTTATACCATCGATTGTAACGCTTCGTTTAAAAAACATTATCAACGGGTATTCTATTCTTGGTTTTGATGTTACATCGTGGTCGCCCACAACCACCACCACCGTTGCATCGACAAGTTAGAACTGAATGAAAAATCTCCCTCTCCTTCTCACAAAAATATATTCGGACGGAAACAAACTTGCTCAGAACTCGATCAACAATAGCTTTTTTTGTTGTTTTTCTTATGGAGATGAGTAACACCTTGTAAAATAACTCCTTGAACTATCTAATGGTAATTTGCCGCTTTAGTTCGAGGGTTATTAGGATTTCTTTATCTTTAAATAAATACACTTTAAACCAATAGTAATAGCTTCATTTAGTGTTGACAGTTGAGACTTGCGCTTCCGAAATATTTAAAATTTTAGCGTCGCGGTGAAAACATTACTTTCTCGCTTGTTTGAACCAAACGTTTGTCATCACTTAATTATCTCTTCGTTTCTACTAGTCGTTAATCCCGAGTTCTTTAGTTAAGTGAGACAAGACAACTCCTTCAGTAACCTAAATTAAACAAAGTGCCAGTCCAATTTATGTAGTATATTTTATATTTAAAAATAATGATGAAAAAATACATATACAGAAATAACAAGAAGAAAGGAGACCACTAACTGGTCCGACGACTTACTAACTCTGTATTCAAAATACACTCGAACTGACTAACAAAATGTATTCTCTCTTATATATATATACCCAAAAAGACAAAGACATGTGACATAAAAGAAAAAAGAAAACATAGATAGAAATAGCTAAAGGTGATGCAATATATAGACCTAGGATAATAGTGATCACAACTAGGCGAGAGAAATACTAGATGAACGAAATAAAATAGACGAAATAGAAAAAAGAAAAAGGAAAAATAGGGAGACGAAAACCTAGACTACAGTCAGTATGATAAACTCCCCCCCATAATAGAAGACCACTGCTGACTATGTGACTTGAAAGCCAAATAGAAGACCATGATCTTCTAACTCCTAGAAGATCAGTGGTCTTCTATTAGGTCCGCAAAAAAAATCGGAAAAATCGGAAACTAAAAGATCACGCGTACACATGTGAAAAGAGGTAAGACAAAAAATAGAATGCTAAATACTAAAGAAACGAAAGGACTAGAGTATTAAGTGTGCCAGACTTAACAACGCTGGCTTCATTTTTTCGCTAATTCTTTCTTATCTATTTCCTCTTACTCTTGTGTTTGTTTTCGTCTTGTCTCACACGAATAGAAACTACTGAATGTTTTGACGTATTCGACAAATTGAACTTAAACATCTTAATATCTGTAATATCTGGTGTAAGTTTTTTACCCCACTGCATATCAAAAAAGTCATTTCAGACTCAAAAATCTTGTAAATAAAATTCCTCACGGCCTTGCAGTATATTGTGATGTCTTATAATAAGTAATTATGACACTTTAACAGATCTTGTAAGAGTTCACACGAGTTCTGCTAAAAGAATCTTACAAGATTTCATGTTGAAAAGATAGATCTTGTATGATGTTGCAATATGGGATTATCTGGGATAACTTTGCCCGTAGCAGCGACATACCCAGGATTTTCTTAAGCGAGTGATCAAAACTAAGAATAAGCTAGTTACAAATTTCATAGCTGGATTACTGGTACTTCGATAATCAAAAGTATCACTGCTCAATTTTTTTCATCAAAATAGCGCCATTTCAAAAAATAGAGGTAATTGACGAGTAGACCGCGGTTCATCTCTAAATCTACGATACACAATGCTGAATCGACGCCTAAAGGCTAGAATTAAGTCGTTGATGTGCGCTTCCCAAGTTAAGTCATGCGAAAGTCTAACACCGATAAGAAAGAGACTCAGAGCTGGGCAACTCAACTCCGGAGTTGAGCGCCTTTTTTTGCGGAGTTGGAGTTTGCTTTTAAAACAACCGCGGTTGAGTTGATGACAGATTTTGTCAACTCTACTTCCGAAATTCCAGTTCAAAATTAAAATTCAAAACTCTTGTAGCGTAACAACCTCCATTCCGCTAAGGTCGAGGTATCCATCTCTCTTACCGGAACTATTTTGAGCATCTTTTTCTTTAAAATTGCTAGAGACTGGAATTCAAGAACTTGTTTGCGACACCATCTGCAAATCCGACGCGTCCTGGATAGTTAAGATGGCAAATGTTTATAGATGTTTAACACTTTTTTTGGTTCTCTAGCAGATTTTATTTGTCATTCGTCTCTGAATGTATGTTTTTTTCCTGTATTTCTATCTTTTTGTCCTAATGATAAGACTGTTTTAGTCTCGTTTTAGTTGAATTCGAGCCTCGCCTAGATTCTCAGCTGAACACGGACATCTATATAAACAGATCATAGTTCGGCCGCAACATTGATTCTCTTTTTCAAATGAAAGCAGCAAAAACTACGGTCGGCTATTTTTTTAACCAGATCCAGAACTTTTCCATGATTGTCAGTATCAGTATCTGTTTGGTCCAGAAAAAGATCAGTTCTGATTTTGTGTAAGTAGTAAAATTTTTAAATACGTAAGAATTTCGATAAAAACAAGTTTCAAATAGCCAATTTTGATTCGGAACAAGCCGAGCCAGATGATAAAAGTCTCTTTAGTTTCTGTTTTGATAAACCGTGACACCTTCAACGCATCCACAGCAACTGTGAAGTTCAGTTAACTTTACGACCGGTCATAATCAACTCTGATTTGTTTCTTTTATGTCATTAAAATGTGAACTTAGTTTTAGACCAGTATTCACTTTACAAAGTTAGATGTAATTCTATGATTTCGATGCACCATTTCCACCACCGGATAATTCTTTCGACAGCGTCTGAGATTTTAAGTCTCAGAAATTCTTTTAGAACGATCGCTCTTTCTTTAAAAAATAGACTGTTTTTCTAAACCATATTCCCCAACATAACCAAGTCAAAGTAAGATAGCACAATGTGCGTTCGACGCGTCTTTTAAAGTTCTACCCAATCAACAGATAACCTTATAAAACTTTTTCTTAATGTTGGAAAAACGAGTCATGTTGGAAATGGGAGGGAAAACAAAAGAGATAAATGAAATGATTCAGCCATCGGACTAAAACTATAAATAAAAAACTGCAACTGCGGTCCGTTTATCACAATCGTATCTCGACAACTAAACGTTCGATCGGAGTTAAACTTTTACAGGGTATGTCAAAAGCTCTGGAGCCAATACAAAAGTAATCTCTTTCATTGTCGTATGGCTATGGAAAAACATTTTGTCTATTAAAGAATATTTTAAAATTTTTAAGTATTTTGTTTTTACATTATTCAGAGGTAAAGCAATAGATAACAATTTAGAAATTATCGAGTATAAAACTGCTACGAATATCATTATAGATTTTATATAAAAATCACTTTATTGGTCTGTTCGACCTTTCGATAAGATACACTTATCATCTTCAGGAATAACGAAAAATTGAGTAACAATCTCACTACATATTACAGCTTAATTGATAGAACAAAAGAGAAGAATTCGCGAATTATTTCGTTCATAGAACATAATGAGGGAACTTATAAGAATACATTTTGCGATGGACTTCCAAGGAACACAGGTCACCGAAAATTCACCGTATACGGCAGACCGCCATATTTCGTCGTAATACAACCACCGGATACGGCTGATGTATATCGCCGTACGTGGCCGTATACGGTCGTTTACGACCGTGTCTATTGGACCTGGGAAGCTTTAAGAGTGTGCTATATTCAAAATATATTTGTAGATTCTATACGTTCGAATCACTCGTTTTTCCGTGATGTCTTTTTAATTGTACGTCTTTCTTCGGATCCGTTTAACCGAACACATTCGGTCGCATCAAGTTTCTAGTCTGAACACGTTTGGTGACCGAACCATCCGATTGTTGCATGCCTATCTCTTACAGTAAAATTAAGCGGTGTTCTTAGTCATAATCAACTTTATTGGTTATTTTTCTCTAACGTTATTTCATTTGTGTTTATCTTTTATCATTACTTTTATATCCTCGTTGCATATTCTAGTTTCTTTTTCTTTTATTTATTTCTGTTTCCCTATCTCATTTTTATTTTGGCTTGAGTCACCGATAATACAGGTCATGGACCTTTGATGACTCTCACTTTTCATGAATAAATATTTGATTATTTAAAACCGACAAGTGCTTGTTAACAAATACATTTTGATCCTTAGGAATATTTCGTAATAGTTGCCGTTTGGTAATTATTGCTTGACGATCATTGTATCGTAGATATCTGACTATAGTCGGATATCTACAATATAGTATACTATGAGGCGAGGTGCTGAGTTATTATTTGTTGGTAAAACGATGTGAAGAATGAATGTCATTTACGATTATTTCATGATCATTTTTGGTTAGGTCGATAACAATAGCTGTAGCATTTTCCTCCCTAAATTCTTCTCTTCTTATTTCTTAACTTCTTCTTTTCTTAAAAACGCGCATTTCTGGGACGAATTCGAGTTAAGAAGGCGTGGACGCGAAAAATGTCAAAAATGTCCCGTCGCACTTCTGAGTTAGCTTTCTCGCAAAAGACTTGACTCAATGCCATCTTCAAATTAACGAAAGAATAGCTTATCATCCACTAGCAACTGATGAAGAAAAGATCCGGAACGATTTTGTTTATGGGAATAATGGTAAATAACGGGTACGGCAGATTAAATTGCCGGTTTTTGATAGGCTTTTTTCTCAAATTAGACTTGATCAGAAGGTTGGGTTCTGATGCTAAAAGATAAAGAATTTTGTGTAGATTTTATTGATAGGTTCTTTTTTAAATAAGCATGTACCGTTCTTTTGTAGCATTAAAAGTAATGGATGCCACAAGAATATCACTTGCGCAACTACACAATCGGAAACGTGTAAAAATCAATTTTACCCACCTAGATTAAGTTCAAAAATTCCTTTCTTGTCGTAAGAGCTATAGAATGTTTCGGCGTATCTTGTGGTGTGTTGGGTTTGATAAGCTTAGTTACTGCTCCACGTTCACGGGTCACGGCATCCTACTTTTCTTTAGCAATTTTGTCACAACCTGGCCTTACAAAAATTATCCTTTTTATGTAAACAGATGCAGAATTTAAAGCTCTACAAAATGCTCTTCTTTATAAGGCCTGATCTCTTTTCTAACCGAATGACGAAGTTGAAATGTTTGCATTGGGATGAAAGTCCGCCAAAAATAGATAATTACGCATATTTTGTAGGCGGTTTTCAACATAGTAAAACTCAGTCCAAAAATTTGGTTTTGTGTCTCAAAAACAAATACGTTTCTGTACTTTTTCATAGTGTGTCTGAATAGCGTATAGAAAATTATTTAGCAAATAAAAATGACATTTTATTCTAGTCAGGTGCTGAGCAAATGACGTTTTTGTACTATCCAATACTTTTAATGCTACAAAAGAACGGTACATGCTTATTTAAAAACGAACATATCAATAAAATCTACACAAAACTCTCTACCTTTTAGCATCAGAACCAAACCTTCTGGTCGAGTCTAGTTTGAGAAAAAAGCCTATCAAAAACCGGCAATTTCCTCTGTCGTACCCGTTACTTGGTGTTTTTCTCAGTCTTCCACTAAAATATCTCGTCACGCTTCCGTTTTGCTTTTGCTATAGAATCTGATTTGTTCATCTGGAATCAAAGATTTTTATACCATAGATGCCCAAAGTGGTACTCTACTTGTGATAAAAGGGTCAGATCTCTATCTTTTAAAATGCCTGAGATAATCCAGTTTTCCTGCTAAAATGTCTTGTCACACTTTTTTCTAGTATTTCCTCTATATATGAATCGAAAGCTCTTGATGAGACAAAGCTAAGCGTGCACATATTAACTTGTGCAATGTCCAATTTTACCAAAAAGTTTGATTTTTAGTGATTTTTAACTCTTTCTAACGACTTTTTAGTCTTTAGTTTGCCTCACAGAGGCATCAGGGTGTGCTGGTGCAAATTTTGGCTGTTGTAGATGTTATGGTGTGAACGGCGGTTTAGACTTTTTAGACCTTTAGACTGTGTAGCCGCGGGGGAGCAGTTTGAGGGTGAGTCACCATACTCAAACTCCAAGGGGAGCACTTTTGGATGTTGACTTTTTCTAGAAGAAAGTCTAAAAGTCTAAAAAGTCTAAATTGCCGTTTACCACCATAACATCTACAACATCCAAAATTTGCACCATCACACCTTCCTCATTTCTCCACTGAGACTCGGCGAGTTTGATGTTGTCTTCTGTCTGTACTACATCTGGATGTCTTGTTGGTAGAGTCTTTACATACAGGTTCATAGCACGTGTATAATAATCAATAACTGCAGAATAACGATGTTGGTGGTGATGGACCATACCGGTGTTATTGAGACTTGCAGCTGTATCCGGATGATGAGCATGGAGAACTTCTCTCATATGATAAGCTTTAACTAAATATTCGAGTGCAAGATCATAGTCCTTTTTCTCGATGTAAACAAGGCCAATATTATTGAGAGTGTGCGCTGTTTGTCGATTGTTTGCTGGATAATGCTTTTCTAATAATGGCAATGCCGCAGAAAAGTATACCAGTGCCGTATTATATTTCTTTTTCTCATAAAATACTACGCCCATACTGTTCATTACTCTAGCTGTGTTATGGCACATATTAAAGACGTGCCATAAGAGACAATTGTATAATAGTCATATATATATTCGTTCTCTATTCTTCTGCTATGGGTATTTTCTCTTCCTGTCATATATGTCTGTATTGTTCTCTTTCTTTTGAATTATCTGTCTTTGGCATACGAAGAATAATATCTTTGAACAGCTGAAACCGGAGAAATGCTGCTTGTTCTTTCGATAAGTCTCGCGTAGAACTTTGGCTCTTATCGTAGAAACTAAATGTTTCCAAGTGTTTGTCGACAAGTTTAACATTTTCTTTCACTGAATCGATCAATTGCTTTTGATTGGAAAAGACACCCACAATTTTTGAATATTCGTGCATTAAATGTTCATAATTCTGTCGTTTGAAACAGAAGATAAAGAATCGATCTGTCTCAGACATTCAATATCAACAGCACATTTTCCAGATGTAACTAGAAACATTTTCTCTTTATCGATTTTCCGTATACATTCAACACATTGACGCAATTCAGTAGAAAAAATGACATAATTATTTATTTCACGAAGCATTTTTGACGTTTCGTTCGTATCTTCGCTACCATCAATTTTCTTATCAAACCAGATTAACGTTATATTCTCTTTGTTTGTGGTTGGTGGTGATATTTCTTCCATTTTTGAACCTGTTTAAGGAGAATATTTTTGTAATCTCGTTTGAAACAAATGTTGCTAGAAAAGCGAAAGAAATGATCAACGGCATATATATTTCTTGAGCATCTCTGATCATTATCCACAATTATTCATGATATTTTTCACGTTTGCAATACTTCCTCGACTGAAAAGAATGATCATACAAAGTAAATTACGGGGTCCATCCGCGCGCGCGTCACCGTGACAAGCAGACATTTATTCTCCAATGAGCTGATCGAAAAGTGAAACCAATAGAGGACGCCAAAGTTGATGTGTGGCATCACGTTCAACGCCACGGTGATAAATGCTGAGAGATAAAAAAAACAATGGGCTGGACCGTTAAGGATATTCGTCCCGCTTTCTGGGCTTTTGTAGAAATGCTGCGAAATAAAAACTAAAAGTCGCTAGCGCTTCGTATTTTCAGAACTGATTGGAAACTCAATGGAGCACTTTTTCGTTTTTGTTTCAAGTTTTTAATATTATCGTTCATCAGTTTTCCAGAAAACTCGGTTTTTCATTGTGCCACATTACGACCCCCTTAAATTTCATCCGATCGAGTTCAAAATTTTACCAGAGGTACTCAAGGTCATTTCGTAGGGGTAATTTTTGGGAAACTTTTTTTAGACCATTTCTGGACGAATTATAGGAAAAATACTAAAAAACGTCTCGAAAAATCAAGCTTTTCAATATCAGAAACTCTATAACTCGGCAAAGAAAGATTTAATAAAATTCTAAAATTTTCTTTTGCGCTATGACCTTGAGTACCTATGGATAAATATATCTGCTTTTAACTGAAATATAACTTTTGATACGCATAATCAGGACGACTTCGATAGAGCACGTCATCGAAGTTGTAACTTCTATAAAATTTCTATCGAAGTAACTTCGAT